GATGTTGTCCACCATCACATTGTACACAAATTGTGTCCACCGTCAAGGGTGTACACGCTAGAAACAAACCCGAAAAACAAAGCAACATGTCCACCGTCAAGGGTGTAAACCCTGACCAGTAAACATCATAAATTTCATAACAAATTTAACATAGTTCATGCCTTTCCAAGTTTAAATATAGGGAAACATAGTGTACGCTACAAACAAACCCAAAAAACAAAGCAACATCCCCACAAAAAAAACATCAAGAGACACACAAAAGGCACACCCGGCCAACCCAATGGTTCCTTGCATTTTGCCCGGTTATGGCCGGCATTTCCACATCTAGAGCATTTGTTTGGCTTTCTTTTTTTTCGCAACCTGCAACAGCGTATATCAGTAATCATTATTCAGTAATCAGTATCACTGGGAAAAAAATAAATGTTTAGTGTACACTAACCTGAGGATACTCTCCTGCTGAAAGTTTTCTCTTCGTCGTAGGCCTTCCTGATGGACGTTTTGCCTTAGGTGGCATAATATTAAGGTCACACACCTCTGCTGGGACACGAATGTCGTCAGGGTCGGGCACTGGTAGGATTTTGCCACAAACTGTTGCACTCCAAATTGATTTCTTAAGAATTGGATCAACCAAACTGGTGTACTCCACTTGGCGAAGCCTAGCCGCGGCCATTGCATGTCGGCAAGGGTATTTCAATGTCTGAAAATCTAGACATGAGCATGTTTTGTTTAGGAGATCAACAAGCCTCTGTACACCGAACTCAGAACTCACTTCAACCTCCCACAAAGAAATGCCTTGAACCGATAGTGCAACAGATTTTTGCTGCTGCAGGTTCATTAACTTGTCAACCTCTTCTGTAATGTCACCATCCATCTTTTGAATGGTCTCTCTTCTGCATTCAAGCCACCTACTTAACATTCGCCTGATAAATTCTAGCATTGCAACGATTGGACTGTCTCTTGCAGCTAATAGTGCATTGTTCAGAGACTCTGCAATGTTACTGGAGGTCATATTATACCTCTGACCAGAAAAGTGTGATCTAGTCCACAGCGCAAGAGGGATTTTTTCCATGTACTCCCAATAACCATAATCAACATCCTTCAGCCTTGCGTATAGTTTCTTGAAATTAGAAACTGTGAACGCTTCTCCAGCCTTTCCGACCAACCCTTTCTGACCGGAACCTTTGTATTTACCGTGAACATTTCTCTGGATATGGACAAGACATGCACTGTGGTGTGACTGTGGATACCATTTCTTTTTAGCTTTGGCAATTCCACCGTGCCTATCCGAGATAATAGTAAGATCAGAGGAATCTGGAATAATTTCTAACAACTTCTCAAAGAACCACCTCCACGTCTTGTCAGACTCTGCATCGACAACGGCGAACGCTATTGGAAATACCTGGTAATTAGCATCTTGTCCACTGGCCGTTAATAGACAACCCTTATACTTACCAGTGAGGTGAGTCCCATCAACAACAACTACTTGTTTCAAATGTTTCCATCCAGATATACACGCAGCCAATGCCATAAATACGGACTTAAACCTGGTAATACATTTTCCTTCTTTTTCATCTCTCTCGCTCTCGGTTATCAAATGCGTTATGGTGCCGGGGTTAGCATACTTGAGCACATGGAGGTAAATCGGTAATAATTTTAAAGAAGTCTCCTCTGTTCCGTGAGCAGAGTATATAGCCAGCTCCTTAGCTTTCCAGCATTTCCAGTACGAGGCTGTAATATTATATTCGGAGAGAACAATCGCAGGTAGCTGACTCGCACGTGGCCCAACTATTGCATTCTCATACTTAGACTTCAGCAGAGCCGCCATGACTTTTGAAGTAGCATGTTCTGAAAATTTCTTTCTTGTATCCGGGAGGCATGTATGCTTCAAACACGCCTTCCTCACCTCATACAACGCCGACTCGCCAACTTGACACCCCAACACTCTCCAATCACATATCTTTGATGGACATTCGGCGACTGTGTACTTCTTCGCATGCTTTTTGAATTCGAACGTCACTATATTCTTCAGCGCATTGATGGCCAACGTGATTTTAAAGTGTTCCTTGTTCCTGAACTTTTTCCCAACCCATATCTCTCCATCTTCATTTGACAAATCAAGTTCATCGAAATCCCCTCCCATTTCATCAGAGACTGGTGCCACATCCAGAAATCCATATAGTTCTGTACGTTTAATCGCTTTCTTCAGCTCTGCACCGCCATTCAGACGCCCCCAACTGACATCACCTGTCGGAGTCTGCACAAAATCATCATCATCTCCATGGGGAGCCAGAACATTCTCACATACAGTCCTCTTTCTTCCAGGAAAATGAATAGGACTCTCCGTTAAGACAATGGAGTTGTCCATATGGTTTGAATCACTCGGCTCACTTCCGCGAGTACTTCCACAACCGCCTGAACTACCAGAGTCATCCTTATCCTCATCAAATCCAGGTTTAGAATGGAAACCCTTTCCATCTGCTAGTACGTAATCATTCCACCAGTCAAAATCATAATCCGGATCATAATCATCATCAGAGCCGTGTGCGTCATCGTCAACATCATCAGCTTCCTTCTCTTCCGAATCTCTCGCCTCGTCTGATTCCTGGGACATTTTTAATTCCAACTCAGGGTGGTCATCAGAGACAGCGTGACTTGGAACATCCGGTTTTACATTAACGGAGGTGTTAGTGCTGGCCTTAGCCTCTACTTTCTCTGATTCCTGGGACATTTTTAATCCCAATGGAGGATGGATAACAGAGACAGCTTCAAGTTGTACACCTTTGGAGGTGTTCATTGCGGCCTCTGCCTCTACTTTCTCGGCATGTGCTATCAGCAAACAATCATCGATATCTTCATCATCTGCTTCATCATCGGGTTGACTAGACTCTGCCGAAGAAGAGGCTATGAAGTTTGTTGGCCCTAAGGACTTTTGCCGTTCCCTCGCAATTTGAACTTCAAGACTTTCCTTCCGTTTCAATCTCACCATTTTACCATTTACTGACTCCTTGAATGTGACAAACAAATTCACAGACTTGTCAGAATTATGCAGCGAAAGGAAGAATTTGTACTCTCGAGGAGTAACTATTACACATGGACAACTCCCATCACCATTAAGCTCAGCTAGAACATCATCAAACCAGTAGGAAATCTCCACCGAAACAACTCTCGTGTCTAATCCGAACTCATGCGCAATCAGATTTCTCAAATCATCTGGTCCGGACACATCTTTGCAATTTATGCACCTTCCACGACGAGATATGTCCATTTTGAAATCCCATTCTCCTGTATAGTACCTTATCCACGTTCCCGCCATAACAAGAATGAACGCATCCACTGCAATTCGCGAACACCATATCTATAAAACTACTGGCAAATAGCGAACACCAGACCGAAAAAAATCGAAAATAACAATGACAAATCTATGGGTGTACAATAATAGGATTAAGTAACTAACCGTGGTTGTTGTCCTCTAGATCATCGCATAATTTCCCCTTCAATTTCAACATCTTCTGGAAAGGGAAACTAGGGTTTCTAATTTGGTTAGGGTACTTTGTTTATTATTTTAACCAATTTATCTCCATTATCCCTAATTAACCACAATTTTTCCCGCCAAAATTAAAAAGAGAATGGGAAGGGTAGTTTTTCGTGTAATTACTTGGGTAGTTTCCGGCTCATAACCGAGGCCCAGTTAGGTGGTTTTTGGGAATTTCATTCCCAAATTCGAAATCAGGCCCAAAAAACGACCCAATCACGTGCGTGAGTGCTCTCTTCCTGGCTGATACGCGCGCGGACGTAGAATACGCCTGAGACCCACGGTTTTTTCTGCGTCTGTCTCTCTCTGAGGAATAGACTGCTCTGTGTCTCTCTCTCTCTCTCAGAAAGAAGAGTAAGTTTGCCATTATGAAAATATGTCCCTACCCCGACTAATTAAAACTTAAAACTACCCTTTCCTCAAATTAAAACTTAAAAACGTCCTTATTTTCAAAACAAGAAAATTGCTGAATGGGATGTTTTTAAGTTTTAAATTTGAGGAATAGGATGTTTTGAAAACCATAGAAGGAAAGGGCTGTTTTTACTGTTTGTCTTCCCACAAGGGCCCTTAGGCAAATTTTATTTTTGGAATTGCCATTATCGAAGTAAAATAACTAAAAATTCCTGATTAAATCCGATTTCGTAAACCGATTACACAAAATTATCAACCGAAGTCCAATATCATAAACCGAAGTAAAACCAAATAAATAATTTATCGACACCCCAACATTTAAAATAAAAATTTAATTTGGGATCCACATCTGGACGTCGTCTATCTAGCATCTCCGGCAATTCATCTCCGATTAGCCATCCGATTTACCGTTGTAATGGCGCGGAAAGTAAAAAAATCGTTAAGGCGCAACAACACCGTGCCTCCGGTGTCGAGGCGAGTGCTTCGGTGTAACTCGAAGACAGCTCCGACGGACCACTCGCCCATGCCGCCCGTGCCACCGCGACGGAGTGACCGGGTTGAACATCCCATTCACTCGAGTCGTCTGAATCCACGCCGGCGGTGTAGAGCCAAAGTACAATTCACTCCTCTTCTTCTAGAATGGCCTGCTCAGAATTCTAAAAGTAAGTTATATTTATGAACTTCGACCTTGTCTGAACTGTAATGGCGGTTTTGTAATTAAAATTAAGATTGAAACGGGGCGGTGATTGGCTTGATTTATGTATTAGCGGTTATGAACTGTAGTACTTATGTCTATATATTGATTTCAAACGGTTGGATTACTCTTATATCATCTAGAAACAGTTACAGAAGTTTTTATAGGAGAGCATACCAATAAGGTAGTTTTCCCAGATATCTGTTCTCTCTTTCGAACTCCTTCGAACTCCTTTCCCTCAAACATTTCCTCTGGGTTTGCATTTCACTGTGAATCCAGAATACTATATCTTTTCGTGCATTTCGGAATTGTTGTTTTCGTTCAAATACAGGAATGGAAGACGGATAACCTTCAAATACAGGCATGGAAGATGGAGAAGCTTCAAATAACCTTTCGGAAAAACTACCAAAAAGAGTCCTCGGCAATGGTTGCTACCCCGTTGGTGCTCGGTTGAACATATATTCAAAGGCCAATGTAATTGGCCTCCTTGTCGAGGCGTTAAAGGGTACTGAAGATCTTGAGAAGCTACTTCATTCCCAGTTTGGGAAGTTATTCCATCTACCTGTTGCAAGATGTTGCAACAGCGCCAAACTTGTCCATGCCTTTCTATCATGACAACTTGTGACCACGAAGAAACACGAGATTTGGTTCCTCTTTGGTGGACAGCCTCTGAGATATTCGATACGGGAGTTCAAGGAAATCACTGGATTGAATTGCAATCCCGAACCTGATAGCACAGAAGAAGAAGAAGAAGTCGTCGCAAAAACAGGAATCTGGAAAGACCTGTTTGGAAGAGCGAATGCTATGAACGTGTATGATGTGCTTGACATGCTAAAGGACCCGGATCTACCCCGATGGAAACGGCTTCCATTGGCCCAAATCGTTCTTGTCGACGGTGTTCTGTTTTGCAATAGCAAAAATCTGGCCCTCACCGAGAAATACGTTGAGATGTTGACTGACTTGGATAGGTTCATGATGTATCCATGGGAGAGGGTATCCTTTAACAAAACAGTATCTCGTTTTCAAGCTCCGAAGGCAATCACGGATGCCGAGAAAAGGGAGAATCCTGTAACACGATTGCGCCGTCAACTTAAACAGAAAACCAGTGCATGCTATGGATTCCCTCTATCACCACAACTCATGACCCTCCAATCTATACCAATGTTGGTTTCCAAAATTCCTCAACCTGATAACTTGAAGACATTCCTTGAAGAGGCTATGAAGTTTGTTGGCCCTAAGGACTTTCGCCGTTCCCTCGCAATTTGAACTTCAAGACTTTCCTTCCGTTTCAATTTCACCATTTTACCATTTACTGACTCCTTGAATGTGACAAACAAATTCACAGACTTGTCAGACTTATGCAGCGAAAGGAAGAATTTGTACTCTCGAGGAGTAACTATTACACATGGACAACTCCCATCACCATTAAGCTCAGCTAGAACATAATCAAACCAGTAGGAAATCTCCACCGAAACAACTCTCGTGTCTAATCTGAACTCATGCGCAATCATATTTCTCAAATCATCTGGTCCAGACACATCTTTGCAATTTATGCACCTTCCACGACGAGATATGTCCATTTTGAAATCCCATTCTCCTGTATAGTACCTTATCCACGTTCCCGCCATAACAAGAATGAACGCATCCACTGCAATTCGCGAACACCATATCTATAAAACTACTGGCAAATAGCGAACACCAGACCGAAAAAAATCGAAAATAACAATGACAAATCTATGGGTGTACAATAATAGGATTAAGTAACTAACCGTGGTTGTTGTCCTCTAGATCATCGCATAATTTCCCCTTCAATTTCAACATCTTCTGGAAAGGGAAACTAGGGTTTCTAATTTGGTTAGGATACTTTGTTTCTTATTTTAACCAATTTATCTCCATTATCCCTAATTAACCACAATTTTTCCCGCCAAAATTAAAAAGATAATGGGAAGGGTAGTTTTTCGTGTAATAACTTGGGTAGTTTCCGGCCCATAACCGAGGCCCAGTTATGTGGTTTTTGGGAATTTCATTCCCAAATTCGAAATCAGGCCCAAAAAACGACCCAATCACGCGCGTGAGTGCTCTCTTCCCGGCTGATACGCGCGCGGACTTAGACTACGCCTGGGACCCACGGTTTTTTCTGCGCCTGTCTCTCTCTGAGGAACAGACTGCTCTGTCTCTCTCTCTCTCTCTCAGAAAGAAGGGTAAGTTTGCCATTATGAAAATATGTCCCTACCCCGACTAATTAAAACTTAAAACTACTCTTTCCTCAAATTAAAACTTAAAAACGTCCTTATTTTCAAAACAACCCTAAATTAAATATATACACACATATTTAGAGACTTTTACATTAGCATCCAATTTTTTTGTCACATAATTATAATAATTTTTAAGTTTTTTTCCTGTGTGTGCAACCATGTAAAATAAACAAAAACAAAAGATAAAGTAAGATTTCACTAAAAATGAGCTATTACAACGTAAAAGAACTAACTTAACTAAACTATATGATTAACTATTAGCTAAATTACAAAAAATATAATGAAAGAAGATATAAATAAAGCCACTACAAGAACAAAGTTGACTAAACTATATGTAATAAATTATAAATAATATAATGAAAGGAGATATAAACAAAGGCACTACAAGCCACTTTAATATTGAAAAAGAAACCGTAAAATCTCCAAAGCTTGGCCAACAAATTTGAGAAGAAAAATAAATTTCAAGTAATCCGAGAAACATGTCAAGTGATTGATACTCGATACTTTTGAAAAACCAAGCACTGAAAATAGAGATAAGAACATAGTGGAGAAGACTGAGGTATCTGATATTTTTTTTGAAATAACATAGCATCTGAATGGGTTTTAACAACCCAACCTGAACCACAAAGTAACAATTAGCTCACCATGCAGCATCCGAATACATTCAGTAAGCCTCAAAACAAAGAGAAGAGGCTAAAATCACTTGCCGCAACGGGTCTCGTGTGAGATTTTTCAGTTTTGATTTCTAAATCTATTACTAATAAAAGTTAAAGTTATATGCCTCTAAGAATGTCCATATATGATTTAAAAGTTCAATTCTATTGGTTAATATTTAAAATTAAGAAAATTTATAAATTTTGAAAATATAATGTTAACAAAAAATATATTTAAAGAAAAATAAAAGTTGAAGCTATATGTTTCTAAGGACATCCACATAAGATTTAAAAGGAGAATTTTATTATTCCACATCAATAACTAAAAATTAAAAAAATTTCAAAAATTATAAAATTACATTGTTAATACAAAATAATATAAGAAAAATTGTTAATTAAAATTATTTTATTATTAATGATAGTTAAAGCTATATTATTTTCAAGGCACCCACATCAGCATTTAAAAATTCATTTTTATTCGTATATATAAAAATTATGAATTAAAAAAAGTTTCATAATTCTAATATTATGATTAAAAAAATATATTAAAAAATAAAGAAATCCCTATTAACAAATAAAAACCAACATGATATTAAAATCTCCATTATAACTGTTTAAATCACAAATTTAACTTATTATCTATAAAAAATATATGCTACTTATACAAGTTTAAGTTACTTGATTTTAAAGCTTTTCATGTAGAATTTTAAATCACTAATATTTATGATTTATATTCATCTAATTTTTTTCACATATACAAAACATATCATCGAAATATGTAATATATTATACGAAAATATGTAATATTTTTGTCTCATGTAATTTATTATGCAAAATGATCAATTTTATTTTATTTTTTATATTCAATTTGGAATACAATAGATTAGTGTAGAAGTTCTTAGTTTTAAATTGTTCAATTTGTATTTCATTTTTATAAATTTGTATGTATTAAATTGTATTGATTTTGTCTACTTAATTACAATTAGAAGTGAGAATAAATATGATGAAACTGAATATAATCATACAAAATTATTAAAATAAATAAATAAGATAAATTCATTGAAAAAATAGATATAACAAGAATAAAAATGAAGAAGATGAAAAAATAATTTTATTCTTATTAGAAGAGATGACGTATAATTATTGAAAAATTATTTAAAAGTTTACACTACCAATTGACAAAAATATATTTATTCACAAATTTTGTGTGATTTATTCATTTTATATTCAACTATTGTTTTGGTTTCAAATTTCATATTAATCTCAAAGCAAATATTTTATTTATTAGTCAGTTTTTTAAATTAATATATCAAAGTAAAAAATTTGTATTTGTTAAACAAGAGAAGAAAAAAGATTAAATTTTAAATTTCAATTTTTTATTATTTTTTAAAAACATATATATAATTAAAATAAAATTGAAAATGATGGAAAAAAAATATCTTCTTGATTTAAAGAAGTGAATGTATAATATTTTGTTATCATGTTAATACTATGTTTAAAAAGTAACATTTGATTAATTTCTAAAAATTTTAGTTGGTTTTGGTATATTAACTTATAAGTGTTTGACCAAATAATACATTTTTGAAATATGATATATTGTATATAGATTCAAAACAAAACCGTTAAAACATCACAATTTACATGAAAATATTTTGATCAACAGTATCATATTTTAATATATTATTAAAAAACTAATATATACAATTTATATTTTAATAAATATAATTAATCGCATATAATTTTTATTAATAAAATACCCACGCGTAGCGTGGACGCAAAATATAGTCTACTCTAATAAAAGTAGAAGTTTGAAGTTCCTCACCCTATCCACGTCAGCATAGACAAAATTGTTCTAAAAAGCTGCCATGTCAGCAGGTTAATCGACAGATAAAAATAGGTTTTCCTCGGCCAAGCCCATATATGATTAACCCAAGACCACAACTCTAATTTCTTGGCACCATAAGATCATGTCCAACGCAAGGTTTATAGGAGTTCAAACATGGGGTTTATAACATTTTTTGGATTTTATTTAATTAGAGAGGCCCACTTAAGTGTTGAACCCGTTTGGAGAGGTTCTAATATAAGAGTTTACAGAACCCATTTTTGGAGAGGTTCAAGAGCCACGTGGCATCATCGGATTGGTTAAAGAAATTTTTTTTTTGGAGAAAACCTTTTTGGATCGTCTCTTTCCTCGACGACATCGGACCAAATTTCCTTCTTCTGCATCGTCTCTTCCATTTATTCCTAAGTGTCAGCTTTGCGTCGAGCCTATAGATCTCCGACTTCAAGACCTCGTCCAGATTCCAGCCGCCGGTAAGCACTACCAAGCTCTGTCCTGCGAGTTGAGTTCCGATCTCCGTCGTGTTCTTTTTGCCCTGGTAGAACGGCATGATGTTGCTAGAGCCGATGCTGATCTCCGTAGTAGCATCTACCTACCTCGATCTGGTACCGATCCGTCGATTAGGGTTTCAGATCGTGAAATTGAGGTCGATTGCGGTTGCCTGCCTCCCATGTGTTCGATCAAATGCCTCTGAAGAAAGTTTCTGTTTGTATAAATGGTTTGAACCCCCATTACGAGTTCAGGGTTGGAAACATAAAACATGGAGAAGTTCTTAACTTTTCAGCTTCCAAAAAAATATTTAGAAAAAATTGATTAGAACCTCATTGGGAGGTTCAGGATTGAACATGCTCTAAGGCATAAGCGCTAAAACTCGATCACGTTCATCTCTTTATTGTTTTGTTTGACGCTCTGAGTTCTCCACTTCAGTGTAACGATGTTTCATCCTCCTCAAATTCTTCGACTCATCTATTTACTCCAGTCTCCACATCAATTCCTCTTCAAGATGTCACCTTCTCTCTGCAATCAAATTCTCTAATTCCTGGATACCTCTCTTTTTAAAATACAATCGATGAAACCTACGGCGGCTAGCTAGGAGTTAGACCCACACTACAAAACTGGTCTTGGTTTACCCGGAGCTAAAGAAATACTTCTTCAAAAAGACGCCTCCATGAAAGAATCGGCCAATGGAAGAGAAGAAGATCTGGAAGGAACGCAGTAAAGACCGTAGTCCTCACATAGGAGTAAAGTAACTCAGAAAAAAAACTATCTATTAGTCGTTAATCTGACCTTTGAAAATATGGCACACCAAAGAAAATCATTCCAAAAAAACTCAACGAAATTATGAGAAATTGCCTGCTCAGTTGGTTGAGTTGTGCGTGAAACATTTGTATCTTAGGGGCTGTGAACCACCCAAAGAGGAAGACAAAGATCACTCATTTCTCCTATTGTAATGTGCAATTTTGTTTCACCTATCATGTTTCAGCAAAGGAAAGAAGTTAGATTCTTCTTCTCTTTAACCGCATGATTTGGTGTCGATGTTGTTTTTATGTTGTAGATCTGGCGTGGAGAACTTTGAATAAACAAGGGTATAGTCACTAATGTCATCCAAAAAAATTCCAAATTTTCAGGTATGAATGTGGAACCAAATCCTTAAGTCCGTATCAGTTATTTCCAAATATTCCAAATCAATTCTTTAGTGTATATCATAAAACGTAACATCTTTCTCTCCTGTAAGCTAACTTTATTTGTCCTGTTTATGAAGAACCTTTAAGATGATTAGCCATGGAGAATTATTTCTGTTTACGTGATATTGACAAAGAATGGTCTGGTCCGTGTGGAAAAAGTGACCTCGAAAAGAACTAGCAACCATACACACCGAGGTGATAAACAATTTAATTAGTTGACTTCTAATTTCTTTCCCAAACAAGTGTCATGTTTAGAATGTAAGTTACTGTGTTTCAATAGTTAGTATTCCTTATCTACATTCCAAGCAGAGTCATCTGATGCCAAATACACAAGCAGTGTAATTTTGATTTGAATTAAAAAAAAATACTATACAATTTTTTTCAATGACAGCTGCAATTTTCCTACTATGTAATGTGAGGTTTGCTTGATTCTTTGAATGTCGATTGCTTTCAATTTCTACACTCTAGTTTAACTGTGTTATCCAGTTTTGCAAAACAGCTTCTTATGATGATGTGGACATTCAGAGTCCCCAAATCATTTAGGGGTTTGTGTGATGTTAGAGTTGCATGAGACCATGATATGAAATTTTGGTATTCTATGTGACAAAATACATGAATTTTTTATTCTTCTATTCCAAATGTCTGACTAAGTTCAAGATCTGAAGTTTTATTGTTGTTGAAATTGTTTCACCAGGTTTAACTTCGCTTGACAAGTACTAATATTAGCAAATAAGAAATGCGAGGTATAAAGTTGTCCATATTACATAGTCTAACCATAAAATGTAATAGTCATCATATTTATATGGTTCCATTGATTTTGTGGTTTCTTGCAGCTTGAGAAAGAGAAGGATGATGTAAATACTACCAGAGAAGTTGGTTTGCTCAAATCTAGAATAGAATGCCGTAGAGTTCAGAAAAGTGTTTCCTTTTGAGTATTTAGGGCTCTGAAATCTGGAAGATGGTTACTAATACTGGTCTTTGACATTTCTTGAAGAATCTTTGGTGAAAAACTAAAAGATATGTGGGAAAGGAGCAGAAGCAGTAAAAATGCAGATTCTAAAGTAGCTTTGTTAAAGATTGAAAGGAGAATCACATAGAGTAAAAAAGAGGATATAGCAGAGAATATTTGGTTGGTCTTCACGAGATAGGGAGCATAGAAGACCATTGCATGGTTTGTTTTCAAAATTTGCATTCCATTTTATTATAAACAATATAAAACTTCTTTTCTAGACTAATAATGGAGAATAATCATCCGATTAAATGCACTTGAAGTGGGATATAAGAAATTTTGGACAGTCTTATGTTTTACTTTTCCCACATAGTTTCCAACAGAATGGTTGAAAGTCATTAGTTGTGTGATACGAAAATAAGAAGATAGAGACAAGAGCAATAGAAATACTAACCTGGTTTTCTGTTTAAGACAGAAATTGACTTTTTGGTGTTATCAAATTCCAATTACCTATGTTTTTATCATTGTAGACATATTTTCCCTTCTATTATACTCTCTCCGTTTTTTATTAATTGTCGTTTTAGAGAATTTTGTTTGTTTTAAACTAGTTGTCGTTTTCAGTTTTCAATATAACATTTATTAGTTTTTTTTATTTGTTATAATTATTTTTATTATGCAATTTGTTTTATTATTGGTTGAATTGTGTTTAAATAGATAATTAATGATGTTTTTATATTGAAAAACTAATATAATTAATATTTTCTTAATCTGTGTGCATAACCTTAAAACGACAACTAAATAAATACGGAGGGAGTAGTACGTAATAGACTACACAGAACCTTAAATTCGATTTTACACGATCAGGCCAATGAATCAAAGAATTTTTTGGGGGCAAAAGAATATATGCAATAATGCAACAACTTTACTAATAAAAAGAATAGTTGGTGAGAAATTAGCTAAGGGATAACTTATAATTATCATAAAATATCTAAGTGATACAGTATTGTCATATTTTTGTAAACAACAGTAGTTATCAAATATCTCGGCTTTTTCCCAAAGTTAAAAAGAACTTAGAACAATAGCGAGAAAAAATAATAATCGATAAACAGACATTATTTACCTAGAATAAAATGAGAACAATCACCTTTCTCATAAAAAATACAAGACCGAGTAAGACTAATGGTCGTGGTACATCATGTTCATGTCGTGACATCAAATGCCCACTACATTTTGAGGATGGTAGTGGTACATCATGTTCATAGATCTCCAGATTAATGTGTAAGTATGTTTTTTCCCTATACAAATTTTTATCGCCAAAAATTAAAATTGAAAAGTTTTTTACATGATAGTGTCAACGATTCTACATTGAGGTACGGTCTCATAAGAACGAATTTGATGTTCCATATATACTTTTGATGGAATAAGAAAAATGGTAAATAAGGCTTAAGCTTCTGTCATATATATACTGAAGAGGCAATACAAGAAAAAAACTTGAGGATGTTCGAGTGCTTATTGAAAGGCTCTATGAATTGGCAGAACAAAAAGGGAAGAAAAGTAAGACACTTTAGATGGGTTAAGATTCTTATTAACTGACTCAGCTATTTTTGTAATCTAATTGTCATGTTTTTCTGTTTGATAGGCTCCACTAAATATAAATGTAGGTCAAAAACATCATATAATGGGCTTCATGGCTAAATTACATATCTCTTCCATGATTTTTGTTTTTCAATGTGGATACGATCATTAAACGAGGATGCTCAAATGCTTAAACATGAGTACATGATAAATTATTAAGATTAGTTATTATATAGATGATTTTAAAAAATCCCGCGCGTAGCGCGGGACAATCTCTAGTAAGAACTTAAGAAGAGCCATGCCTTGTGATTTGTGAATTACTAGCGTTGGGTTAACGTGTCAAGTATATTGCTTAGTGGTGTTTGTCACTTGAAACGTTCCATATAATCATCAATGTAATTAAGTAGAGCTATTTATCAACGAATTGAAAGATCAATTTAGTGGCTTTTGAAGAGGATATTCATATTATACACTAACTTAGAGCAACCCTCACTGAAAAAATTCCAAATGATTGGGCCGGACTTTAAGCCCAAAAAAATATCAAAGTTCGCTTTTTCTTTCCGAACAATTTTTTCTTTTAATCGTCGGTGTAGTTTTAATTCATAGTTAACCGAAACCGAACCAGAACTGAACCGAATTAGAAGATACCCTCAAACCGAATATTCATCAATACCCGAATAGTTCCTCTTATAATATTTCGGGTACACGAACTAAACAGAACCGAACTGAAAATACTCGAAACCGAACCCGAACTGAAACCCCAATGTCCAGACTTAATTGGATTACATTGCTCATCAAAGCTAGGAAACAGATCTTCCAAGAATCGCAAAATGATAATGAGTGGAAAAAAGAAATCTCATTTTTAGAGTTCTTTGTGGACTATATTTTGTAGAACAATGATTTAGTTAAAAAATGGCATAAACCTCAAGTCGTCTCTCAAGTCTAGCTTGCTCCTTAATCACGAGATTTTCTATATTCCGTCCAGAATCAACGCTTGTTTGCCTCTATTTTGAACATAATCATGACTTACACAAAAGTTCTCACATAAATAATTGAAGATAACGCCGAATTATTATATATCAGTATATGTTGATGATTGATAGAGGAAGAAGAGAGAAAGAATTAACATTGAACCAAAAAAAAAAAGTGATTCTCAATACAATTTTTTGTTCCTTCAAGTAGCTAATTGAATCTCACCGAGTTCAAGCTGAGCAGCGATATCCTCAAGCTGCTTCTTCACACTCATATCAATAAGCTTCGACCCAGAATCACCATACCGAATCGTAAACCCAGCCACAAGACTCGGGTCAATAACCGTTTTAACCCTAACGTTCTTCGCTCCGGTCAGCTTCTGAACCTGTTTCGCGATCTGAGCAAGCTGCGGCGGCTCAAGTTTCACCACCGATCTAACCTCCGCCAATTGCGTATCCGTGATCTTGTTGTACACCATCTCGAACTCCTTGACGATCTCCGTCACTATGCTGATCCGGTTCGCGTCGATCAAAACGTTGAGGAAATTCGACGTGTGGCTCTGGAGAGAAGACGATTTCACGATTTCGTCGATCACGAGACGCTTCTTCTCGACCTCGACGGTTGGGTTCGCGAAGAAATTGAGCACCTGTGGATCTGAGAATACCTTCTCGAGCTTCTCGACGTCTGCGCTCGTCAATTCGAGTGTGTCGTTCCTTTTCGCGACGTCTGCGAGAGCCATCGCGTAGCTTCCGGCCGCCGTGGCTGACATTCTCGCTCCCGCTGCGTTTCCGCCGCCGATTCGGAGTGGTAAGGTCGTCTTTCGCATAGGGAGAGATCTCGCGATTTGAAAGGAGGAAGGTGGGAGTTTGGATTGAAGAGAGAATAGAGTTTGCTGGAGAGACGCCATTGCAGAGAGTAGAGAGGGAGAGAAAGAGAGAGAGAGAGAGAGATTTGTGGTTTCTCGAAGACGAGAGAGGAGCAGAAGAAGGTAAGGTTTTTGGGAATAAGAAACGGACGGTGGAGATGTTTTGATGCGTAAAGATCGACGGTAGAGAATTGAAGGTTTATCTTGTGTTGAGGTTTCAGAAAGATTAGGCTGTGGTTAGAGGAGGAAGAAGGAGCCGCCACGTGGGGTTATATGATAGGTGAATTATCTGCGTTCCATAATGAGTAAAAAAGGATGCGATTTCCCCCAATTATCCAATTTTTTTTTTTTTTTTTATATTTTGCGAGAGATTATATTATACCAATATATACCTATAGATAATTGCATAGTTGTTTTAATTAGAGATATGGTATTTATGTAAATATTTAATAGAAGAAAGATATTATTAGTTATTTATTATTTTTTCTTTTCTATATATTTTATTTTATTTATCAGCTATTGGTATTGAGTCACTTAATTCTTGATATATTCGTTGTAGTAACAAAATTTTGAACCAGTTAAGGTGATGTTGAGTGTGTTTTGGTTCTATGAGACACTCTAGGTGAATAAAAGTTATAGTTTGACCAATTTATGGGAGAGACTCAGATTCAGTTGGAGGGTTCGGCGAAAATCAATTTCAATTACACCAAGATAGTCTGATTGATAGATAGACTGTTAAAGCTATACCGCTATAAACAAAGTCGCAGTCCACCTGTTTTTTTTTACTTTTCTTTACTTTGGCTCTGATTGATAACACAAACTGCTCAGTTAAAAGGAGTGGTTGAAGAAATGCTACCAATCAGTAAAGATGGTTGGAGATAGCCTTTAAAACCATGGTTGTAACAAGCATTTGAAAATGGTAGTTGGAAGATGATTCGGATGACTGAAGTCTGATTTTTGGATGGTTACAAAAGCGCTGATTGGTAGCACCAACCGCTCGGTTGGAATATACCGTTGCAAAAACGCTACCAATCAGTAAGGACGGTTGGAGATAACGTTTAAAACTATGGTTGTAACAAGCGTTTAAAACGGATGGTTGAAAGATGATTCCGACAGTTGAATGTTGATTTTCAGGCGGTTACAAACTATAAAAAAGGGGCATTTAGAGCAAATGAGCGGTTGTAACCATGTTTTTTTTTTTGAAATAAAATTTATGGTTCTGTATTGTCGACTTTTTAGATTTTTAATGATACATATTAAAAGTATTTGTTTTTTTTATTTTGTATGTGTATGTGTGTGTGTTATTTTGTTTTTTTTTTGTGGTAATTTTATTCAATTCAATTCAATTCACTCAAGACAAAAATAAAAGAACCAGAAAATAGATGTGCTTGTATATTAAGTCAGTCCACCAAAGAATTAGAAAATAGTTGTGCATTTGAAAATTATTAAGAACTTTATCATCCCTAATTTAAAAAAAAAAACAAAATCTAAAATTTGTTACGCTTATTCTTCTACAAAAATAATTGTGTATGTATATTCATTTCCTTTGGCAAAAGAATCAGAAATCAGTTGTGTATTTTTAAAGTTACAAAAAAATAGTTGTGTATGTTGTCATTATTTGGAGTATGAAAAAAAGAAAGGCGCGTTGTGGAAGAGCTCCCGAGGTACAAGTCTGAAATATATAAATGAATAGTATTTGTTACTATGGGTCTTCATAATTTCACTTGAAGAACGAATATTTTGGATGATGATTTTATTGATACCGTGAATAAGGATGAAGATGCACAGAGAGAAGATGCAAATAATGAAGATAATATAAATGAGATTGAAAAATCTAAAGCAATATATGACAACAATTCGCAACCAAATGATGTAAATTATTATAATAGCTATAAGAGGAGTTATTTTGAATTGTGCAAATATATAATTATAATCTACGTTTACTGAAATTTTTATATCATAAAATTTAAACTATGTATTATTACATAATTTTATAAATAATTATCCAAATAGATTAATAATTTTATATAGTTATACTTTTCAACCACTGTTTGGAGGAATCCCTGTCGTTCACTAGATAGAAAAGAGTGACTAGCTGCCTTCGTTCCTAAATCCGTAGCTCAGATGAGCCACCATATGCACACCATATGACAATTCTATATATCTGAGATCCCTGAAAACAAAGTGGAAAGTCCAATACTTGGAAAGACGATTGCGCTGAACTTAAAAGAACAACTATCTCTAATCGCCATTTTTCTAACTGCCATTGCTACAACTGCTCAAAATTTTCTAATTGACTTATTTAAACGAGGTCACTAATCAGACCCAAACTATGAAAAATGGGCGTTTGGAGTAAACAGCGGTTGTAACAAGGGTAGTTTTTTAAAAAAAAAAATTTTATGGTTTTGTATTGTTGTTTTTCTTTTAAATTGTAATGGTACATATTAATATTTTTTTTCTTTTGTATGTGTATGTGTGTGTGTGTTTTTTTTTTGTAATTTCATTCAATTCAATTTACTCGAGACAAAAAAAAATCAGAAAATAGATATGCTTGTATATTATGTCAGTCGACAAAAGAATCAGAAATTAATTATGCATTTCAAAACTATTAAAAACTTTCTCATCCTGTTTTTTTTTTTTTAAAGGAAAATTTAAAATTGTTACGCTTTTTCTTCTATAAATTGAGGTGATGAGTTTAATTATGACGTGAATGAAGATGAAGATATACAGAAAGAAGAGGCAAATAATAAAGATTATATCAATGAGATTGAAGAATATGAAGCAAATGTTGGAGAATATATTGATGAGCTCATCAAACACTCCAAGGAGGATCCCAACATTCCAACACTCCAAACATGCCCCATGACTCGATCCAGAACCAGGAGCCTGCGTGAAAAGATCAACTTAGTCATAGAAAACTTCATGCACACGCCCAAGGAGCATCAAGTGGAGGTCACAGCTCATTCTCAACCGATCCAGCCGCGGTCTAGCATGGAATCATGTATGAAATCTATTGTGGCAGGGCATGGAGCTGAGACCGTCAAAGAACCCGAGGAGATCAGCATCCAAGAGCCAAAGGCCGATGACACCAAAGACTTAATCGCTAGCGATCAGTTCGAGCTTTCACAAGAGACGCCGGCTGAGGAAGAGACTGCTAGATAAGATTTTCACGCCCTTGAAACAAGCACCCTCAACACCAAAGATGGCGCAGAAGACCACTCAAATATCGCCTCAACACAAGTCAAGAACAGTTCATCTCTCACTTGGCCCCTCTTGCGTGCACAACAGGTAAGCTTTCTTTTTATTTTTGTTTAAGTAGACTTTCCTTATTTGTGTCCAAATGAGACAAGCTGCCCTTTTCTTTTGTTTCTTTAGAATGTCCTGTGTTTTTGAGTCTTTTCTTTTGCTTGAGTCGTAGCCTAGAAGGATCACACTGATGGGAATGTTTATAAAGTCCACTTGCAGCTTTGTAGTTTGACACATTTTTGCTTATCAATTAAATAACGCTGTTTTCCTCTTTGAGCTTAGCTTGAGAGTTTGCTTGTCTTTGCGTGTGTGTGATTCCATTCAAAGGCTAGTGTTTGCTGTGTCAGAGAACCCTCCATCCTCTTTGTGGTGCCATCGATCTACCCTAACTTTCCCCTTGTACAAAGAGAGAGCAAAGGCCAGCTTGTTAGATCTCCATCAAACTTTTGTGAGACTCTCCTCCGAGTCTTACACCATTTGGTATCAGAGCCGAAAGGTTCTACTATCAGGTGATATCTATCCAACTCTACTTTTTTCTCGTTTCGTCTTTGTTTCATTCGTAAAAAAAATAATATAGACATATAGATCGATCTAGGTATTTTGTTTTGTGTTACATTGTTTAGTCATTTGCATCCATCAATCGGTTCCCTTTGGTGCTGTATTTGGTTCAGTTTCTGTTTCATCCTTGTTAGAGTCGTAAAAACAAAAACAAAAATCCTAAAACCCTAAAAAGAGTTACGTTGATTGTTACTTCTACGACAAGCCTAGGTTTCTCAACTTGTTGTGTTGTCTCGGTGAAATTATTTGCTAAGTTAGTTTTCTCTTGTTCTTTGTTTACGTTACCAACTCTCTTAAGTTGTTAGGCAAAAAAAAAAGTTCCATTTTTTCTCTTCGAGTTTCCATTTTGTTTACTTACACGATTCATCTTTGTGCACTTAATCTTTTGTTTGCGTGTTTCCAGTTCTCTTTTGCTGTGATACCGTGATTGTCTTGTTGTTTTTGATGCGCAGGAAACCCTCATCCGAAACATCATGGCTGAAGACGCCGTACCACAAGATGCAATAATGCAAATGTTGACCACGATGCGAGAAGAGATGAGGACGATGAGGCAAGAGTTTGGAGAGCGTGTAGGCCGTTAGGAACAGCCTCCACCAGCTCCTGCAGCTGCTGCTGTTCGAGAGCCGAGATGAAATCCGCCTCCACACGAGGAAGATATGCCCATATTAGAAGATGATATCCCTCCTGACCCATTGCGACGACATAAACAGGAAGCTCAAGACCCTTTGTGGAGGCATAATGCGAGACAAGACGAGCCTTGAGAGGGTAATTAGGATGTTAAACTTACTCCTCCTACCTTTGCAGGAAAATCAGACCCTGACGTGTACGTGGAATGGGAGAGAAGGATTGAATACATCTTTGAGTGTTATGCTTACTCGGACCGCAAGAAAGTGGTATTAGCTGGTGCCCAACTCACTGACAACGCCATAGCCTGGTGGGATAGGAATGTGGCTGATAGAAGAAGGAATCGATTTGCACCGGTTACTACTTGGCGAGACATGAAGTTCTTGCTTCGGTCTAAGTATGTTCCTGATCACTATCACTGAGATTCGCAAAAACATATTTGAAGATTATTGCAGGGAACTAGGTCGGTTGAGAGTACTTCAAGGAGTTTGAGAAGCTGGTAAACTTATTGGAGCTAGAAGAAACCAAGGAGGCTTTGATGGCTCAGTTCATCGATGGTTTACAAGAGAGTATAGCTCGTAAGGTCGAGAGAGCTTAATATAGTGGGATGCATGAGTTGTTGACTTATCAGTCTAAGTAGAGCAATATATCAAGCGCAAGACAGCCTTGTCAAACCAAACTTGCACGCCACAAACATGAAGTGCTAACAGTTCTAAGTCTCTAGACAAAGGAAAAGCCGTAGAAATAGATTCACGGCTTAAGATCAAACCCACCGACGCTAATAGAACAACATGGCAAGAGCAAGTGATAACACCGTATTTTGACCACTTTTATGGATCGTTTTGAAAT